CAGGGAAGTAAGTGCACCCATGAGCTTGTGAAGACAATCCAGATTGAAGCTGTAACACTGGACCTCACAACACTCTTCTCTGGTGTGATGTGGTGATTCCTCAAATGATTCTGCTTTTTTAATTTTTTTATTTAGAAACAATCATTTTACGTATGAATCCCCTGGTCTCTCTCCATCCCATCCTCCCATGAACCCTACCAACCCCCCCAAAGCCAAACCCCACCATGGGGGATAATCAAAGACTGTCATATCATTTGGGGGAGGGCCTAGGCCCTCCTCTGTGTATCTGGGCTGAAATAGTATCCCTCCATAACGAATAGGCTCCCAAAGTCCATTTATATACTAGGGATAAATACTGGTTCCATTGTTAGAGGTCCCATAGACTGCCCAGGCCTCCTAACTGGCACCCACATTCAGAGGGTTTGGTTCAGTTCAATGATGATAATCCTTTGCTCCAAGTCTAATATCCATATGTGAGTGAGTACATACCATGCTTGTCTTTCTGTGACTGGGTTACCTCACTCAGGATGGTTTCTTCCAGTTCTATCCAATTTGCCTGCGAACTCCAAGGTTCCATTGTTTTTTCCCCACTGAGTAATACTCTATTGGATAAATGTACCACATTTTCTCCATCCATTCTTCAGTTGAGGGACATCTAGGCTGCTTCCACGTTCTTGCTACTACAAATAATGCTGCTATGAACACAGTGGAACAGATGTCCTTGTTGCATGAGTCTGCAGCCTTTGGGTATATGCCTAAGAGTGGAATTGCTAGATCATGAGGTATACTGATTGCCATTTTCCTGAGAATCTGCCATAATGATTTCCAAAGTGGCTGCACAAGTTTGCACTCCCACCAGCAATGGAGAAGTGTTCCCCTTTCTCCACATCCTCTCCAGCACAGACTGTCATTGCTGTTTTAGATTTTAAACATTCTGGCCAGTGTAAGATGGTATCTCAGAGTTGTTTTGATTTGCATTTCCCTGATGGCTAAGGATGTTGAACACTTTCTTAAGTGTCTTTCAGTCATTTTAGATTCCTCTATTAAGAATTCTCTATTTAGTTCTGAACCCCACTTTTTAATTGAATTTTTTGGTATTTGGGTTACTAGCTTCTTGAGTTCTTTGTACAGGTCTTTCACTTGTTTGGTTAGTGTTAGTCCAAGATATTTAATATTGTTTATGACTATTGTAAAGGGTGCTATTTCTCTGATTTCTTTCTCAGCCCACTTATCATCTGTATATAGTAAGGCTACTGATTTTTTTTAGTTAATCTCATATCCTGTCACTTTGCTGAAGGTGTTTATCTGCTGTAGGAGTCCCCTAGTAGAATTTTTTGAGTCACTTATATAAGCTATCATATCATCTGCAAATAATGAAAATTTGACTTCTTCCTTTCCAATTTGTATCCCCTTGATCTCCTTTTGTTGTCTTATTGCTCTAATTGGAGCTTCAAGTACAATATTGAAGAGATATGGAGACAGTGAACAGCCTTGTCTTGTTCCTGAATTTAGAGGATTGGCCTTGATTTTCTTTCCATTTAGTTTAGTGATGGCTGTTGGTTTGCTCTATATTTCCTTTATTATATTTAGGTATGTTCCTGTTATCCCTGATCTCTCCAGGACCTTTATCATGAAGGTATACTGGATTTTGTCAAAAGCTTTTCAGCATCTAGTGAGATTATCATGTGGTTTTTCTTCTGAAATTTGTGTATATGGTGGATTACATTGATAGATTTTCACATGTAGAACCATCCCTACATCCCTGGTATGAAACCTATATGATCATGGTGGATGATTTTTCTGATGTGTTCTTAGATTCGATTTGCCGGTATTTTATTGAGTATTTTTGAATCAATGTTCATGAGGGATATTTGTCTGTAGTTCTCTTTCTTAGTTGTATCTTTGTGTGGCTTGGGTACCAAGGTAATTGTAGTCTTGTTAAAAGAGTTTGGCAATGTCCCTCTGCTTCTATTGTGTGGAACACTTTCAGGAGTATTTCCTCAAATGATTCTTATGTACACATTGATATTGACTTTAAGCCATTGGTTTACATTATTTTCCAAAAAGCTTAAGGTGGAACACTTCTAAATATCCTTCTTTGCTTGTTTCTGCACCAAATCTCAAGTCATTGGTGACAAGTGCCGTTATTTGCCGAGCTGTCTTGTCAGTTCAGAATCTACATTTTAAATAATTATGTTTGATTATCTGAAGCTATAGCTTGTGGGCATCATTTAAGAGACAGTTATAGGAGTCAGTGAGTTTTAGGGAACAGTGAACTGGTCATCAAAACCACCACAGAGGTTAAGGGAGGGGATGTTTGTGTGCTGTCTCTGCCATCTCTGTCGGAAAATAAGAAATTTGTGATGATGTTTCATGTACTCATTGGTTCTGCATCCTTTCTGTCCTGTATGGTATGGATGCTGTGTAAGGTCAACAAGAGCCTCTAAGAATAGGGATTGATGGTGGTCCTCATGGCTGGTTCAAAGGGTAGAGGTTGACTATAGTCCATCACAGGTGATTTAGGGGATAGGGATTGACAAGGTACCCTATGGATGGTTCATTGAATAGAGACTGGCAAGTTCCTTCACAGGTCATTTATACTCTGTGTTGTGATCAGCTTCTAGTTAGAGTCACACTACAGAAAATGAATTCATAGACTTTGAATGTATCTTTACAAAAGTCTTGAAAAGATATTTGCTGAGAAATATTCATTGATGTTAACAATAACATTTTCAATGAGAATAAAGAAAAAGTGACAGCTGACTTTCATACAGTCTCTCAGACAGTTGCAGCTCCAAAAAAAAAAAACCAGAAACAATTTACCTATGTTCCACCTTCACAGAGAGACACCTTAAAACTCACATTTACGAAAGATTGTTTTAAAACTTACTTTTATTTTCACTAATGCTTACATTACCCCAAGTACATCCCATTCCTGTGTATACATAGGGATTGCACCAGTGAAGCTTAGAAATTTGTAGTATACTACAATGACTTCCAAGATTATATCATTATTTGTCAACTAATAAATGCCCATAGAAAGATCAATTGGTGAACAAGATGGGTCAGCAGGTAGAGGAGACTGCCAACAATCCTGGCAACTGGGAATCTATCCCAGAGACGCACATGATTAAGGGGAGAACTGACTCCTGCAAGTTGTCATCTGACCTCTGTATATGGATTGTAGCATGTGTGTAAATACATATGTATGTGTGTGTGCACAAAAACAAATGTATGTGTGTACACATATACAAGCGTGTGTGTGTGTGTCCAGAAATACATGAATATGTAATTAGCAGAATAAAAAGGAAATGGTCTTTTTTCAAGTTTGGAAAGTGAATGATCATCCATTAGAAACTCGAAAGTGTGGTATACAGTCTCAAAGGTCCCAGGCATTTTAAGTTCAATTGCTTCCTTGAAGCATAAAATAAAATTAAAACCAATTACTCAGTCTGAGCTCAGCTGCAATTGACTTCTCTTTCTGTTTCTCCTTAAGATGCTTTTATAATGAAACTACTTGATGAGGGACTTGAGTATATTTTCGGGAGGGACAAGTTGATTTCTCCTCTGCCTTGGGAGATGACTCAACGAAAGAGAATATGGTATAGGAAAAAGTTAAATAGGAAACAGATCTAAAAAAATGTTGTGATCGATGCCTCGCTAGATGCTGAAAAGATTTTTTGCAGGCCAAATGCTTTTGAAAAGCAGTTACCACTGTGTGTCGTTCTCTGCAATTGTATCAAGGGAGCCTTTCACTTTGTACCTAATTCAAGTTCATCCTCAGGAGAGAACCCGCTTCCAGTCTCTCACTGTGAAGAGGACAGGCCAGAGAGGATGCCTAAGCCTCTCGTATTCTTTGGAAGAACAAATACCTCGCACCACGCTGCTCAGACATTTAGGGAACAGGTAAGCTACCCTGGACCTGAACTTTAGAATTTGCATTCCATGACATTTGCTGAAAATTCCAGGCATGCACTGAATCTCTGAACTTCCAAGTACTTTGTGTACCTTCTATTGCCCTGGTATTACTCGTAGCTACAGCTACCTGCCTATCAAAATCAAATATTGGTTCATGGCTTATAATTACAAGCATAAGCCTAAGGCAGCAGAGCTTAAAATTAAGTTGAAGCACATGAATTGCCAGTTTTAGAAATAAGAAATGGTACTTTTTTTTATCATGTCTTAGAGCTGTGGAGACAGTTCAGTGAAGCACTCTCCTGGCAGCCTTCTAGTCTTGCCTACTTGGTAAGTTCCAAGTCAGGAAAAGACCCTGTCTCATCCAAAAAGAAAGAAAAAGATTAGACAGTATCTGTGTACCAAGGTTGTCCTCTGTGTTCATGTGTATTCACACATATGCAAGGGCAAGTCACATAGGTAGTGCATCCACACGCATCCACAAAAATAAAAGCAAAATGAAATAAAAGAGAAAAAATCAACTCAAGTCTAGTAATCATGAATTGGGTTGGACTTGGAATACTGGTGAGTGATCCTGATTGGATCCAGTGCCCTGACCCCTACACCCTATGTGTCACACCTCATACACTGGTAACGACAACCTCATGCTCGGGCCACTTCTAATGCTGAGCTGAATCAAGAAGAAATCTTGGCAAAAAAAAGTGGGCCCTGACTTTTGAAACCTATTACACAAGGTGTATTCAGTTCCAGAAGAGACCTCTGCTCATCAAGGTTCAGAAATTTGTGAATTGGGGAAAATTAAATAGATATATGAAGAAATAGTCCTCTACATCATCAAATTCAAGAACTTCTCTAGATGACCTCTGCAGAAGCAATGTGTTTGCTCTCCACACAGGACCCCAAAATGACACTGACAAGTATACCCTCAAAAACTGGCATTCATGCCTCTGAAGCCTCCTCTCAGGGGATCACCCATACCAACACCATCTATATCAGCTGCTCCATTTGTCCTAGCAGTGATGGAGCCTTGAGAAGCATGTCTGTTCTATTAAGTACAAAGAAAAACTTCTTAGAGAAACTTGGGGTGAATCCCAAGAGTACTGGTGATTATTATGACTTAAAGTATTTCCCAGTTAGCTGGAAGAAAAATGGAAATATCATTCTGTGCTGTAATTGGATTTGGGTATTTGTGTTTTCCCCACACTGTTGCTTAAGAAACATTTAAATTCTGAATGTGGTTTTGTAGACATTCTCCAAAGTTTGAACTTGAAGGGGTGAAAAGTCCTGTATATCAGTGTTTCCGAGATTTTTGTATTGGAAGATCTTTCCCATTTAGAGGTTGTTGAGAAGTGCCCTTCCACAGAGACCTGCCAAGAAACAGAAAAGTGAGTACTTCTTTATTTCCTTTCCTTTTCAGTAGTGATTTTACTCAGTTACTCTGACTATGAGTGATCTATGCTTGGTGAGAGACCAAGAGCATAAGACACAGACTCTCAACAATAGTCCCTCACATCAGAGCTTCTGGTGAGATTCGCATGAAGTTATCAGGAAACACGGGTGCTCAGTGTCTTTCTGTATGATTCCCATGAAGTTATCATGCAATCTGGGATCAGTGCCAGAAATTTGAGTTGGCTTTTTTGGAATTACTTCTTACCTGTAACCACCTGTTTGGAACAATCTCCATGCAAATATCAGTCTTCTGATTCTATCTTTTGGGGACTTACAAATTAAGCACAGGCCAATTAGATTTAGTGTCATTTTTTAAAAAAAACAATGCTTTTATTTATTCTTTGAAAAAATTCAAACACATATGCAGCATATCTACCCCAACTCTGCATACCCCAACACACCTCCCTCACACCTTCATCTCTTCTTTTTTGTTATATAAAGCACTGAGTCTAATTAGTTATGCCCATGTGTGCATGGATATTGAACCAGCCACTGGGGCATGAGCAGCCTAGCAATGGCAACACTCCCAAGAGTGATTCTTCATGCCTCATCAACCACCAACTTTCAGTAGCTTCTCAGCTAGGTGTGGGGCCTCAGGAGTCCAACCCAGTCTACACTGAAACTTTAACTGGCTTGATCTTGTGCAGGTAACCATAGCTGCTATATGTAAATTCATGAGTGGAACAGCCATGCCACAGCTAGGAGAGAGCACTCCTCCCTATCCTCCAGCTCTTACATTCTTGCTACAGCCCCTTTTCTGCAATGTTTCATGAGTCATATAGTAGAAAAGGTGATATAAATGCCCCATCTAGGGCTGAGTACCCAAACTTGGTTATTCTCAGCACAAGTCCCTGCACTAACCACTACCATTTACACAAATGCAGCCCCTCTCACCAAGGCTGAGAGCAATATGAATCTATGTGTCTAAACATAAACATAAACATTTAACAAACTAACAATAGTGGGTTTCCCACCAGAAGGGTTATGACCTCCCCAACTGTGGGCCATGTTTACAGTACCAAGTATGAATTCCCTTCTGTGGAATGGGCCTCAAATACAATCAGAAAGTGATTGGTTATCTCTATAACACTCATGCCACTCTACACCAGTGGGTACATCTTCCCTGGCAGACTGGAATTGTAGCATACTGGGGCCAATGCTGTATTTTCTCACCCAGCAGCCTGCGTTGTGATAGCTACCCAGCAGGGAGGGGGTTTCTGTTCAGCTCTAGGTTGATTTCTCTATTACCTATAACCAACATATATGGTGTCTTCATACCACATGAGCAGTGGCAAGCGCTTGTGTTGTTTTGGAGGCTCTGAGGCTTCCTTGATCAGTAATTCATAGGGAAGTAACCTGTGACCAGCCCTGAGATTTTCATGTAACAAACCACATGTTCTTTGAGGAGCATTGTCCATCCACAGAAGGCATCTCTGTTTAAATTCCCTTTTAAAATTATTATTAAATTAGCCTACAAACTAGTAAATTTCATAGGCTTCTTCATACACCCTTAGTTTTGCTTAGCCCTATAGCTTCCTTAATATTGGAGGTTGAAGGTAGTGTTCATTTTTATTAAAGCCAGAGTAAAGATTTCCATAAATTTCATGGTAAAACCTTGTTCTTAGAGATCATCTTGTGTTCCTGGCCACATACAGTAGAAATTATGAGATGACATCTCTCCCCATGGCAGCACACTCCAATTATTGAGAACAAGAAAGATGGAATGAAAGCCATTAGGTGAGCAAATAAGCCCCAACTACTGAGAGCACACTTAAAGGTAGATGCATCTTATGTGGAGATGCTATAAAAAATAGAGACAATTGATACCACATGTACTGTGTTTAGAGGACATGAGATGAAACAATGCTGGGGTAGGGGACAAGATGCTCAAAGAATGCAAAACCTGACCATCTTGGATTGCTTTAGTGCCATGCTCCAGCACTGGCAGGCCAAAGATGAAGAAACAGCAAGTTCCTGAGTACATCCTACTGTCTAAATCTCATCTTTCTATGCCCTGGAGTTGCAAAGATTTTCATCTCTTCCACTGACCCTTGACAAACACTGCTGGTAGCAAGCGGTCTCTGGTTGGGACCTATATTTTGCACTATCCTCAAGTGATTTTCCTTGCTATGTGTACCAATCTACCAATTTCCATTTGGGGACCCCAGTCAGAACTTGTCGCTTCATACATTACTTCCCTTCCAACTCCAGTTCCCAGAGGAACCCAAAGACACCCATAGTCAGATTTCTGAATTACAGCACAACGGCAGAGACTATACCTTGATCTACGCTGCTAAGGGCTTTCTCTTCCTTCCTTCCCTCCTACTTTCTTTTGGGTTTCTCTGCCTTTCTCTTTCATCTTTTGTGTGTATGTATGAGTATTATGTATGTGTACATATGACATATCTGTGGATATGTTGCACAAATGTGTATACACATTTATGAAATGCAGATGAACCATTGCTATATAGCATAGAGGTCAGAGGACAACTTTGGGTCTTCATCTCCTACCCTCTTTGAATCTCTCTCTGTATCTGTTCTCATATTCCACCCTATTGAATTTCTCTCTTTCTGTGTGTGTCTCTCTCTGTGTCTCTTTCTCGGTCTCTGTATCTCTTTCTCTGTCTGTCTCTCCCTCTCTCTCGTGTGTATGTGTGTGTGTCTATGTGTTTCTCTGTTTCTATACCCCCCTCTCTCTGTCTCTCTGTCTCTGTCTCTGTCCCTGTCTCTGTCTGTCTCTCTCTCTGTCTCTCTCTGTCTCTCTCTGTCTCTCTCTGTCTCTCTCTGTCTCTCTCTGTCTCTGTCTCTCTCTCTCTCTCTCTCTCTCTCTCTCTCTCTCTCTCTCTCTCTCTCTCTCTCTCTCTCTCTCTCTCTCTGTGTGTGTGTGTCTGTATTGTTGCTATTCCTATACAGGATTCTGTTTCTTCAGCCTTTAGCAGCACTTAGACGACAGACCTGTGCTAGTACAGCGGACTCACCTGGGTTCTGGAGAGTCACACCCAAGTCTTCATGTTTGTACATGTAGCACTACACCCACTAACAGATCTTGCCAGCCCAAGGTCCTGTTCCTGAACATTAAAATCCCAACCACAGCCAAGGGGCTACCTGCCTCATCTAGACATCAGAAAGTCTTTTTATGGTGAGAAGAAAAATATAGGAAAGGCAATTTGGTTCTCTTGGCCATGTATTTCTCTAACACTTTTTGCAATGACTGTAAATAATTTACTTTAAGAGGCATTTTGAGATCGAGTAGGTTTACCTTTGAAAGCAGTTTTCTTCTCTGCCAGGTTTGGGGCCAGTCTTTGGCGCAAGATCTATGCTGTTATGATACTGCAATCAACTGGTATAAAAATAACTTATGATGTCAAACCATCGGCCCAGGAGTGCTGCCCTCAAGAGAGGAGCATCCGAGAGCCCAGAGCCCGGGAGGCAGAGGGGGCCAGGCCCAGAGCTCCGCAGAGGCAAAAATAGAGCGCTAATGGCCTGCAGTGACATGGGCGAGAGTGGGAAGCAGACAGCTATATTTATAAAGAGAAAAACGGCTGTGATCATCTTCTAAGTCCCCATTCTTTTCCTTTTTTTTTTCTCTCCCAGGTCTATTTCTGGCTCTGTCCCCAGCATAGGCAGCCCCTCCAAATGAAGAGCCTTTTTCCTGCCTGCCCTGACCTCCAGTGGAGCTCTGAGAGGCCAGCAGAGTAGGACTGCTCTGAGTCTAGAGTTCTAATTGAACCCCACTCTGGCCCACCCCATCCCGCCCCCCCACCCCACCCCACCCCCCCACCCCCGCCAGGAAAGACCCATGGAGGGCGCGATCTCATCTGATCTTTCTCAACTTTCAGTTTTGTTTCTGCTTGGCAGAACTCTGTACAGCAGCGTCGCCTAGTGGCATGATCATAGAACTGCCAAGGCAATCTGGGCTGTGACTCCAAAAACAGAGGCATGGGAAGTTCCCAGAGGTTAAACATTTGCCTTAATCCTTTGTGGTTAAGGTAGTTGAAAGTATCTTAACCCTTTCGTGTTGTTGGCAGAGTACTGGGGGTCATGAGGTGATATCATTTGAGTGTCCCATGGCATAAAAAGGAGAAATAATAAAGGAAAGGACATGACTGCTCCTAGGTGTGGTGGAGGAGAAAGCTTATCGTAGGTAAAAGGGAGGACATAGCCAGAAGCAGAGGCATTTGGGGAAGTTCAGAGTGGACATGACCTTGAGTAGGGCCATGTGAGAAGAGGAGGGAGGGGAGAGAGGAGAGGGACCAAACAGGCCAAAAGAACCGGCATAGCAAAATGACCGGATTGTATTGGGAAGGACAGCTGGAGTAAGGACAGCCAGTCCTGGCCTGAGAAGTTTAGGGTAGGGGCTGGGTGTGCCAGCCATATGCTGTAAAGGTAGGGACTGAGGAATGCAGGGAGAACCTGATGGACAGCACTGGTTTGATATGTTACATAAGCATCTCAGCCATTTACCCTGGGTGTGAGACAATAATATCCACCAGGGGATTAAACACTGCCCAGGATTTTGTAAGTTCCATTCAGAAATAGAAAAACTAAATGAACACAGTGTTGCTAAGCTTTTGAAAAATTAACCCCAGCTCCTTTTTTCACTTATATTTTTGAAACAGAGTCTTGTTAAGTGGCTCAGGCTAGACTTGAACTTGCCATTCTAAGCCTCCCAGGCATCCAGGATTACAGACCTGCACCACTTGACCCAGTTCAGGAAAGTTTGTTTGTTTGTTTGTTTGTTTTACAAAGTAAACTCTATGTGGAAAATATGCTAATGTGTTCAACAGCGCATGACTGCACTTACAAACGCTAATCATTATAATCTATCACTCTAAAGATTTCAGAGTAAACTCATCAATCAAGATTCAAGATTTCTTCATTCTTCAACTAAATTTCCTATGAACAAATATGATGTCAC